ATGGTGGAGAGGATAAGAAAGGGCTGGGTAGGGTAAGTAAGTGAAATAAGACAAGTACAAGGTACTACAAGAGTCTTATTCAGGATTGTACTTGGGTTCAAGAGATTTCTAAACCTAAGTAATCACAACCATGGTTCTATACATTATCTAAACCCAATAAAATAATTTATTCAATGAGTCCATTGAAACATATTTATTAGGAAACTGGACACTGTTGTGGGGATACAAGAGGTAAAAGCCCTGTCCTCATGAAATTGGAGTCTAGCAGCAAAGGACATCTGTAATGTAGTGTACAAATAGGATGGAGAGAAAACAAGCAGAGAAAGCCAGTAGGAATTGTCCCAGGCAGGGGCAGGAAAGGCTGAACTTATGCAGACAACGGGAAAGACGTGAGTGTGCTCATCCTATTGATGACAAGACCTCACAGAGGTTCCGGTACTGAGGAGCTCAAGCCAGCCACTTTGCTTTCCTCATTCTCACCAATGCAAACACTTCAGTCTTGTTTTGTTGGATTGGGACTATTATTTCTCAAAACTGTCGTTTTATTTATAAAAAGTCATGCCTGAAGTTCTTTTAAAAGTCTGAAAACAGGAAAAGTGAGGAATCAAAATCAACAGAGCATCCGGGACTTTACACATTTGATACACACAGAGAGAAAGCACACTTCAGAGCCAGCCTCTTTCTGTCCAGGGCCCTCGCTAGTCTTGGATGAGAGAGTACTGAGAACAGCTATTGGAATCCTCTACACACCTGTATGGCCATCATTGGTCTCTAATTAACTGGTGATAGTCTATCAAGTAGCCCCCCAGTATACTCTATTATCCTCACAAGTTCTAGATTGAAACCCCTGTAAGGAGCTAGCAGCCAGACTGACTGTCCTGGTAAGCCTGGAGTCATCTGAGAGGACAAGCCTCAGTTGAGGAATTGTCTACATCGGATAGGTCTGTGGTTATGACTACAGGAGTTGTCTTGACTGTTAATAAGTGTAGGAGGGCAAAGCCCTCTGTGGGCAGCACCATGCCCAGAGGCAGTCTTAAGCTATATAAGAAAATCAGCTACATGGGGCTGGAGAGATGGCTCAGTGGTTAAAAGCACTGACTGTTCTTCTAGAGGTCCTGAGTTCAATTCCCAGCAACCACATGGTGGCTCACAACCACCTTGAATGAGATCTAGTGTCTTCTGTTGGCATGCAGGCAGATGGCTGTATACATAATAAATAAATAAATAAAATCTTAAAAAAAACTTAAAACATAAAAAAAAAGAAAATCAGCTACACATGACTTTTGAGCAAACCAGAAGGCAGTGTTCCTCCATGTTTTCTACAGCACATTCTTGGCTGTAGGTAAGTTCCTTTTTGGAGGTAGTGCTGTATGGAAGAGCAAGCAGTCCTGCCTTCAGATTCGTGCCTTGAGCTCCTGCCCTGACTTTCCTCAGTGATGGACTAAGACCTTAATATGTAAGCCAAATAAATCCTCTTCCCCAAGCTGCTGTTGGGCAGAGTGTTTTGGCATCAGAATTGAACTAGAACAGAGACCAAACATGTCAGTTTGCCAAGGGCATGTGAAATGTGCTGTGGCCTCAGCCTCATTATTACACCATCCCCTTTTGGTCAGCCTCAGAACAACCCCATTCTTGATAATAATAAAGTACTATCTTACAAACATCCATAGAGCTCAACTGATGGAGACCACTTCAAAGTATCATTGAGATGGCTCATGACAAGCATGAAGAAGAGCAGACGTGAGCAGTAGCATATGCCAGGTAAAGCAAGAATCAAATCTAGTGCAGGGATTGTCTGCTGGTATTCCTGCCCAGGACCCTCACTAGTCCTGGATGAGGGAGTACTGAGAACAGCTATTGGAATCCCCTGCATGCCTGTATGGCCATCATTGGTCTCCAATTAACCAGTGATAGACTATCAAGTCAGCCCTCCAGTGTACTTCATCATCCTCACAAGTTCTAGGTTGAAAACCCTGTAAGAGTTCAGAAAGATCTCCATGGACATAGTGACTCTGGTGAACCTGGAGTTTTTCCAGGGAGCAGGTAGCCCAAGATTCACAAAGGACAGGGAGATGGGAGCATAGTCTCAGCATTATAACCCCTTTCTTGTCCAAAATGGGCAAGGCAGGAATTTATCTACAGCTCTGCCTCTTATTGGTTCATTCTTTATCATCTGAGTGTTTTTTTCAGTAGCTTTTTACACTAGTTTCCTCCTGAAGGATGTAATCATGTTACCAAGTCTGTCCGAAATTCTGTCACAACCTTCTGTTCCTCAGAGACAATGGTTTTCAGGGACACTCCTTCTTTGAACATTTCCAAATCCTAGTTGTAGGGCCAACGTAAATCCCAAAGGCACAGATACCTTACCCAGTCCATGGCTTGTCACACTTGCTATTCTATCCCCTTGGCTAAGATGTCTATACAGGAACACCTAAAATATTTTACAAGGGCAAATTTCTTGATGGCAGTAATGTAGAAAGCAAAGGTTTTATGACCAGAGATGTTTACTGAAATGTGGTTTTAAAGATAATGACATGTCTCTTTACTATGTCTTATAGTTCTCAGTGTACAAACAGGTATATGAAGGGGTATTAAGAGGCATCTCCCTACTACTTGATGACAGTACCCTTTTCAGTTCTGGCAAAAAAATTTGGAATGGCATGTATTTAAGGTACATGCTTTAGGAACTCTGGTTCTACTAACCTTGGGATAAATATACTGTTAAAATATGTATAACTAATACAGGTGTATTAATTACACTGCTACCAGTTCAGTCTTTCAATTACTGTGAGTCTTCTTTTGTTGTGTATGTTGATGGTGTGGTTGCAAGTGTATGTATGTTTGCATGTGTTCTGGCAAATGTATGTGCCAGTGCGTGCACATATGTAGGCATAAAATCTATATCAGGTGTCTCCTTCCATCACTTTATACTTTCTTTCTTGAGGTACGGTCTTTTGCTGAGTCTGGAACTTGTTGGTTCTGGATAGTTGAGGTAGATTGCTCTAGGCATCTATTGTCTCTGTTTTCCTAGGTCTGAGATTGTAGGCTGCCCAGCTCTTATGTGGGTCCTGGGAATCTAAACTCTTCTTTATACTTGTGCAAGTACTTTGCTCACTGAGCCATCTCTCTAGCTCTACTATGACACTTTAACCTACAGTTTACCACAAATGAAAAGATGAACATGTTGAAATTGTTTATAATTTTTTTATCATTCCATTAAAAACACCAATACAGCATATGGGTACTATTCTTTAGTATATTGCATCTACTTGTGAGCTGAGAACTTTATAAAACATCAAAATCTAAATATCAAGGAGATTCATAAAAGGAACATCTATTTTCAAAGTCTCTCTCTCTCTCCCTCTTTTTCTCTCTCTCTCCTCTCTCATGCAAACAAAAATCCCAAATACCATACATAGAAATGGGCATGCCTCTTCTTCCTCAGGTGAGATAAGAACCGAAAGCAAATGGTACTGGAACTCGGTGGATTCCTACCAGTCCTGTTGAGTCCCTTCACTGCGTCTTATGTACACTAAGAAGAACTCCAGCAGCACTATCCTGAGGGCCTTACCAGGATTAGCCTTCATAAAGCTCAAGAAACACAAGCCCCCAGAACAGTGCTTCACTGACAGTGTTAATTAATTAATTGAATGTTCTCACAGCTACAATGTAAGCTAAAATTACCCAGCATGCAATACCACAAACGTCTACCTCATATTACTTTTCTCCTCACAGACAGAATTGGAAAGAAGTGCTTAGGCTAAGAGCCCACAGATGAAACTACCAAACAAGTCAGTCATTTTTTTATGCTCTGATTCTGTTCACAGACATTTTCTAGAATACATGATTCTGATTAGTTTTTGTGTTCTCCCCATTGTTTGAATGGTGTGTGTGTGTGTGTATGTGTGTGTGTGTGTGTGATGGGATTACTGGAGTGTGTGGTTATGTTCCACTTTTTGTGTGAGTGCTGGGGATTTGAATTCAGGTCCACGTGTTTCCACAGTGAACATTTTAAACTACTTAGCCATCCCCCAGCCGTCCAGTTTTTAAGTTACCTTTGTTTATGTATGGGGAGGCACTCATGTGTTACCATGCATCTTGGAGATCAGAAGCCAACCTGTGGGAGTCAGTTCTCCTCTTCCACTATGTGGGTTCCAGGAGTTGAACTCAGGCTGCCAAGCTTGGCAGCAGATACCTTTGCCTGCTGAAGCATCTCACCAACTGTCTTCAATTGCTTTTTGATGGTTGTATCTTATTCTTTATGCTGATAGCCTAGACCATTCCAGCAAGAGACCCCTTTTAAGCTGGGAAAACAGAGCCATACTTGTCTTTCCTATGGTAACTTCTAAGCATTTTCTAAAAGTATAAAATAAGTACAGTGAAAAAGAAAAGTTTGCAAATTACAAATACACAGCTGTCTGGAAACATGTTGAAAACTATGCAGAATAATTTTGGATGAGGCTGTGTGATTATGCTCAGCTTCAAAGAAGAGGCTGGGTATACTGCCGTGACACCCACGGAGCAATGCATCCATTGTTCTTAGGAATTTAATTCTTTTTAAATTACCCATCCAAATGATAAACAGTGAGATGTGATGCACTCTGGGGGGTAAAATGTAAGAAGTTTTATTGTGGTCACAACTGTTAGCTGGGAAGCAATTCAGCCTGTTCTAATTAGGCTCCACTTACTGTCTTTCCAGAAACTGTTAGTCCCAGATAAGTGAGTGAAATCATGCTAAGTGGAAGGATTGGGATAAGTGATCTTGCCTACTCTGGTATAATGACAAGGCTTGTGGAGGCATATGCAGACTTCCCACAAAAGTTGAACTACGGGTTTTGGAAGAGAAAATTTTATTTTCAAAACTAAAAGCCGCATCATGGGAATTCTGTTTACTGTAAGATACGGTTTTAATATGTGTATCAATATAGCCAATAAATTACCATTTCACTTCAAGGACTACTATGTAAATGTTGAATCCAAAACATTATAATTGCCCATTGAAGTGCTATGATGCTGCCATCCAGATGCATTATAACCACACATTACAAAAATATCAATATATGACTCTCGGGAGAAAACACATACATATACAAACGTAAGAATTCATATCCTCTGTATGTCACATATTTAATATAAACCTTTGAAGCAGGATTGGATAAGACAAAAATCAGAGCTCTTAAAAAAAAACTGAAAGTTTAACTTATTTGCCAAATATTCCCTATTGCCCCAAACATCAGTATTTTGAAAATACAAAAGTATGCTTCCAGACTGTTTAAACGCTCTAATGTACACAAGAGTTTTCAAATAATAAAGCCAATCATTTTGCCATTTGAAGAATATTGGGTAAAAGATATTCTATGACACACACGCACAAGAGTCAATGGTAAAAAGCTGGTGCTTCCTACGAGTGCCAAAGGAGCCTGGCGTACTGGCAGGAAGAAGCAGTGTCACCCCTCCCTGCAGTCCAGGTAGTTTCCTTTAATCCAGTAGCAAATCTGCGCATATTTAAGAGGAGTGATTCTGACCGCCACATTGAAATCCTGTGGAGAGCCATTCATGTCCACCCATTGGTGGCCCGAAAAGATGCCAATAATTTTCCTTTCCCATTTCTGCTGTGGTCTCTTCCACATCCTCACATAGACCCCTGAGCCACTGGCCCCTGGCTGGGCATCACACTGCTGGTAGAGAAGGTCGTAGGTCTCATCTTTGACATCACAGAAGCGGTACACCAAATTGCCTGGCCGGTCATTGTCATAACCAGAGAAGTGGATCCTGCCCCCTGGGAGCTGCTTAGCTGGAGGGCTCACCCCAATCTTCATGAACTTCCTTTTGTGGGGTTTCTTGAGTTCCAGAAGGGCGTAGTCATAATCCATGCCGATGTCATTGGCATTGCCCTTGATCCACCCCTTGGGCACATGGGTGCGTTTCACCCGGATCCACTGAAATTTCATCTTATCAGGCACAGCTGAGCTCGAGCTGTTGTCCCCTCTGCCACCATCTTTATACTTGGGCTTCAGGAAGCCCACTCGGAGTTTCTGTGTCCCTTTCACATAGGTTTTCCCATCGTGTATGCAGTGTGCAGCAGTAAGGACGTGTTTTTCTGCCACTAGGGTGCCGGTGCACCCCGTAGACAGCTTCACCGATGTTGAGAAAGGGTAGTTTAGCAGGAAGTCCTTCCCAAAAATGCTAAACCTGCCATCATAGCCATAAATCTGCCTCTTCCTGCGAGATTTCCCCGTGGCCTCCGAGTCTCTGCCGTGTGTCCTGCCTTCGCCATTGCTGAGGATGTAGATGCCCACCTGCGTCTCTGTGCGGCTGCCATTGGTGTAGAGGGTTTCGTAGGAAAGGTACTGCTTGGCCTCTTCATAGGTGGGCAGTGGTGTTCCCTTGTGACACTGGGGTCCACATGAGGAGGACACCTCCAATTTGGCTTTGGCATCAAAGTCTGGCTTTGCTAAATTGAGAGTAGACTGAGGCAAGATTACAGGAAGTCGGTAAGCCGGCCAAGTGGGTTTCCATGGACTACTGGAGGGGCTCACCTCCCTGAACACACAGAGGAGGAGGAGAAGGAGGGTGAAGAGCCCCGGGATCCCGGCCATGCTGAGTGCTGCTGTAGAAACAAAGACAAGAAGTCAGGAGGACAAGGGTTATAGATCATTTACTGCAGCCTTGTAAAGTGGGGCAGCATGCTTGCTGGTCATGTCTCTAAGACTGTGAGCCTTCCTCCGGTTTCCAGGGAGAGAATTCCTGCGATAATGGTCTCACTTACATACAAGGACTTGACCTTGGGATCATTCCCACACCTAATCCCCTAATGAAACTGGCTGTTCCTTCCCTTCATGCTTAGAAGCAATAAGCATGGATCATTACAGTGCTACATCTACACAGTTAACGTTAGTCTGTGAACATATGGCCAGCTCTCATTTTTAGGTGATTTTGAACTTTCTTTCTACTTGATTATACACCTTGTCCCTGGCTCTATTTTCTTCTTTCTTAGGTCTCATTTCTATTACAATAAGTTCTTACATAATTTTCTGGGCAGCATGCTTATTTAAATAGTAAATCTAAATCACACACTCTACTGGGCAGCAAAGGCATCTGGGAAAGGTGGAGTCATACTTACTAGGAATCTTATCTTCCCTACCATAATGCGTACATTTAGAAGGTGGTGTGAGAATTTTTGCTTTGAATTTGGGGGAGACTAAGGTTAGGTATTGCCTTTGATCCAACCCTTGGGACATGGGTATATATCATTCAGATTCGTTGAAGTTTCATATTCTAGGGCATGGCTGAACTCCAGCTGTTGGCTCCTGAACCACCATCTTTACACTTGCATACAAATATATAAATGTAGACCTTTGGATTATGCTGCATACTAAAGAAATCATTGCCAAAGAGTCGAAGCTTTAACACTGTATTAAGTCTAATAACTTTCTGACTGTTACTGTTGGTTATTTATTCAGGTGTCTGTGTTTTCAGTTTGTCTAATGCTTCCACCTTGGACATTTGCCAGCATTTCAAAGGATCATTGGACAAACGCTTGTGTTACTGGAAGGATAAATTAATGTTGTGGCTCAGGAAATACATTTTTCTAAACAATGCACAGTGACTTCCAGTGATAAATATGTATAGATGAAGTGGCAGCGCAGACAGAGGATATAAAGTTAGGTGCAGGGAGAAAGAGGACCAGGAGAGGTTTTCTGCTGGAGGGAGGTGTGAAGTTGAAACGGCATTAGATAAATTAAGAGACAGACAAGGGGACACTTAGAAGGAACAACAGTCTCTGCAAGAGCATGGAGGTGTGCAACAGTGCAAATCATTTCAGGAATTATATTCAGCTCAGCAGAGGTGACAATAGATGGGGTGACAGCAGAGAAGACAAAGGAGGCTGCAGGTAAGAACCCCACTATGGAGCACCCTGTGTACTAAATGCAAGAGTACAAATTTTATCCTGAAAGATGTATTTAAAACCTTGATCAGTCATCCCTGGAGAAAAGCAGTAACAAAGAGGGTTAGAAATGCTTTCATCATTGCTCAAGCATCGGTGGGCTCTGACTGGCTCCAAATCTTCTGGTTCAGCTGACTCAGCGGGTAGGGTAATTCATTCACAGTCAGGCATCCCAGAATGAGATGGGAGGGGTATTTCTCAAGAGGCCAGCTAAGGGAACAAAGCAGGAACAAGAGGAAACTGTGATTTCCTTATTTTCTCTCCCTTCCTCTTGTAGGGTACAGACATACCGGCAATGTCTGGGTGCTTTGAGCTTGCTTTACATAAGACCTAAAACTCCATTGACCTGACCTAGCCACCTGGGCAAGCCAAGCCACACCCACAATATCCACGCACTAAAATGTGTGTTTCACCACCTCTTCTATCTCTTTTGCCCCACTCCCTTGAATTCTACTGTGAGAGATAATAGGATTGGAGAAATAAAAGGATGTGGTACTTTGGGAGTTCTTAGGTACTTGGGAAGGAAATATATTAAGGTGTTTTCTTACATCCTTGAAATCTTGGGGTATGTGGATATGAGTACATGTGTATTTACATGTGCTTAGTGGGGATACTAATGTTAGGACTAATGCTTCTACATGGACCAGGGAAAGTGTGTTGACGCTAACAGAGTCCACCCTGCAATAGGGAGCTGAGCCATGATGTGGTGATGGTAACACTGAGAGCTCTGTGGGGCATGCTCTCTACCCGGCTATTCCTGCTTACTGGCTGAGGACCCAGCTCTTGGGCTCATTTGGATTTGAGCAGCCTTTGCTCTGTGGTAATTCCTGCCTTGACTAGCCACCCCAATCAGATCAGAACTTCTGTCAAATGTGATCTGCTAATGAAACCAGGTGCCTGTTTCCCACTCAGGCTGCAGCATAACTATTGCCTCTTTCCTTGACTAATGTGGAGAATTTTAGCTCTGCTAAGCCTGATACACCAAGTTTTATTTCATTTTATCTTAAAAAGACACAAAGTCCAGAGGTCCAACTTGTCAAATGTCCCTGTTTTTAAAGTATGACTGTGTGGGAGAGTAGGAAATAAGACAGCACCATGGTACACAAGTGTAGCTATGTATAATATTTTCAGTGGACAAGAGGAACTTGAGAGTTAAGATATGCTAATATGCTGGGCAGTGGTGGTGCATGCCTTTAATCCCAGCACTTGGGAGGCAGAGGCAGAGGCAGAGGCAGAGGCAGAGGCAGAGGCAGAGGCAGAGGCAGAGGCAGAGGCAGAGGCAGAGGCAGAGGCAGGCAGATCTCTATGAGTTCCAGGCCAGCCTGGTCTACAGAGCAAGTACCAGGAGAGGCTCCAAAGCTACACAGAGATTTTTCATCTCGAAAAACGAAAAAAAAAAAAAGATATGTTAATATCAGCACATGAAACTTTGAATTCCAAATCCGAAACACACACAATTCTGTCGAGTCTGAATTATCAACTGTACCAAAGTGCTGCTAACTGTCTTTAGCTTTATCCATTTACCTAAAAATGAAATAGTTTAATGACAAGGGCATCAGGGAAGAAAAAGCAGAAAAACAGAAACTACACAAAACACATTTTTTTTTTTAAAAAAATCCACCTAGGAACTTTGCTTTAATGAATTAATCCTTCTCTCAGTCAAAACTAAGTCCTCTTTCCAAGCACTTTGCCTGTACAGCAGATCCTTATTTATTTAAAGAATACTTTCTAAGGTACCAAAGTATGCTCTGTTTCACAAGTGCCAACACGACATTCCCCCTTAGCTGTGTTAGCAAAAGAAGCAATGTCTTTAGAAACCAGTCAAGTGAGTGGTACTGCATGCAGGGGTACCCAGTTTTCCTTGGGGTGTGGGTGCTGGGTAGTCAGTCAACTTGGCTCTTGTCCTGATAGCTCTCTGTATAGAGGGTCAAATTTACTCCTTGGCAAAATGGTGGATGACTATGTGCCAAGAATTTTGGAGATCTCTTACAAATGAAAGAAAGCTGAGGGGTCTACTAAATGATAGGCTATTACCAATTCAGATTCCTAACAACTTAAGTTCTCATCATGTAGCCGGGGTCAGGGAGAAGTCGGCCATCTATGGGAAAGATTGCTATCTACTTACAGCAGAGCACAGCTTCCTTTGTATAAGGTCAAATTGAGGGGTACTTTGGAAGCATTATTTTTTCTTAGCTTAAAACAAGGCTTGTAAGTTCCCAGAAACTGTATTCACATATATGACAAGACTTCACCCTGACAATATTCATTCTATGTTTTCCCAAAGCTTTGGTTATGCCTCTGAAAGTTAAGACTTTAATCCAAACATAGAAAGGGATGCAGACGTCAAGGAATTAGTGCAGGTCTTTACTCAAAATTGATTTGGAATATCTAGTGAGCAACTGAGCGGTAAAGCTGCTTGTCAAGCCTTCATAGATTTTACCTGGCATCTGGTTGAGGTTATAAGCATCCAAAGTCACTTGCTGTGTCATTAAACCTTATTTAACATGGGTTAGAAAACTGTTCTGAATAGCAACCCAAGCCAAGAAATCACTTTCACTGGTCCTTGCAAGTCCAGGATTCTCTACTTGCATGATTTTTTTCAGGATCAAAAATGTTCAGGCAGGTCAGAGACTCTGTTATTTATGGAAGCTGAAGGTTGGGGAGGTGAAGAAATGAAAATGTATCACAGTAATCTTATTTCACTGGGATTTAAAACCTCCATGCTCAATCTGCCAAAAAACAAACAAAAACAAAAACAAACAAAACCACAAAGGCATCTACCAGGGATGACTTTTAAGAACCCAGTGGAAGGATGGCTGAGTCCAGAGGATGCTTTTAGGAAAGTCCCAAAGAAAAAGAAAGAAACAGCCCTACTGCCATTGGAGGTCACTTCTGAGACATGTACACAGGTATCTGAATTACTTCTATTTGTAAGACAACCAACAGCAACTGGGATGCTTTAGACTGATGTAAGTAGCCTTGCATTAATTTCTCAGCTCACTTGATAAAAGAGTACCCCCATAAAGATAAATATTGTTTCTAACATCACAAACTCAAAGTAAGCATTGCTAGGCACATATAAAGTTATTTATACATAGACATCCAGGGATGTAAACAGATTTAACATACACAGTTCTATGCATTTCTTTTCCAGCTCTTGGTATCTGACTCACAAGAGGGCTACACATTCCCTGCCCCCAGGTTGCAATATTAGCGACTGTCTAGCTGTCCGGTGACTCAAAAGTTTTACATTGTATAAACATACTTCATAAACCCAACAGTAATTTTATGATAGAGGGACTTTGCACATTATCAGATGTGCTAATGATAATAATGTTTCTGGGGACTGGCATACTGGGATTGCCTTTTGTGATTCTCTACAAAGTAGTCTTAAAAACTGCAACAACTCAGTTCCACTCATGGGGGGGGGAGTGTTTGAGAGAATGATTTAGCTCCTATAAGTAAACACGTGCTTCAAGGGAAAACCTAACCTTTTCAGACATCCATTCTCTATTATACAAGGCATGAATTTCTGTGACCACAATAAGAGATAAGAAAGTACATGAAGGTGCTCACTTTAGACACCATTTGGAAGGATGACAAAGGATCCTCCATGAGCTCTGTAGCCAGGGATACTGGACAATGTGGCTCTGCTAATTCCCAAAG